CCGTCCCCCATACACAGTGCGATGATTGGATGCTCTGTGTGTCCCCTCTCCATCCCCCATACACAGTGCGATGATTGGATGCTCTGTGTGTCCCCTCTCCGTCCCCCATACACGGTGCGATGATTGGATGATCTGTCCGTGTGTCCCCTCTCCGTCCCCCATACACGGTGCGATGATTGGATGCTCTGTGTGTCCCCTCTCCGTCCCCCATACACAGTGCGATGATTGGATGCTCTGTGTGTCCCCTCTCCGTCCCCCATACACAGTGCGATGATTGGATGATCTGTCCATGCGTCCCCTCTCCATCCCCCATACACAGTGCGATGATTGGATGATCCGTGTGTCCCCTCTCCATCCCCCATACACGGTGCGATGATTGGATGATCTGTGTGTCCCCTCTCCATCCCCCATACACGGTGCGATGATTGGATGATCCGTGTGTCCCCTCTCCATCCCCCATACACAGTGCGATGAGTGTCGGTGCTCTTACCCAGAAACTTGATGTGGAATCCCGGGGGAGGTCTGAGCGCCCTCCGCACCCATCCTTCTCTCAGCACCCCGAGGTGCTCCTCCTTGCCCTGGATCAGCAGGACGTGCTCATCGATCCACCCCAGGAAGAAGGTCTCGGAGATGGCGGCCGTCACCCTCTTGTTCCAGAAGTGCTGCATGTTCTCCGCTTTGAAGTCGGCGAAGATCTCGTAGCCCACATGGTTCCTCCGGAGCCTGGCATGATCGGCCGACAGGAGGCGCCCCTCCGAAGGGTTCCTGTGACTAAGGACCACGGCCAGGGAGTGCGGGGCGATCTGCAGAGCCGACTCCATCTGGAGGGGCATGGTGACCTCACCTAGACGGGACACAGTCGGTCCCGGGAGGGGATCATGGCAGGCAGGACTGGGAAGTGTCTACAACTTCTCATCACTATGGGCGGGGGCCGGGACATGACCCGACTCGCCATCCCGCACTCAGGTCCGGCCACTGATCGCCCTGTCCCCGCACGGGGCTCACATGTCCCGGAGGAATTTACAGGTGGGCAATAAAAGTTTGATTTATGGACTCACGGACACGCCCCCTCCCCGCCGTGACAGCTGGAAACCGGCGCCCCTGCTGGCCGCTAGCGCGCTCAGCACCTCCCCCCGCCTGGCCTGACCTGTCTGTCCCCAGGAATCCCCGGCTTCCCCTCCTGTGTTTTCAGTGGGATTATCTCCTGGAGAATTGGGAAGTGTGGCTTCCTCTGCTGTCACTGGAGACTGGGATTCGTACAGCACCTGATCAGGAAATGATACATCACAAGTAGTATAGACACAATGTAAACCTGCAGAAAATACATGAAAAGTGTTCAAGCAATAAACAGCAATTTGATACGTTCAGCTTTCCAATCATTAGATGTGGTGGCTGCATTAGTTTTCTTTTTTCTTTATTATTTTTTTATTTCAGGTGCTTATATAACGCCATCAATTTATGCAGAGCTTTACATATATAGTATATTCACATCAGTCCCTAACCCTCAAGGGGCGTACAATCTAAGGTCCCTAACTCACATTCATACATACACATATTGGGGCCAATTTAGACAGGAGCCAATTCACCTACCAGCATGTCTTTGGAGTGTGGAAGGAAACTGGAGTACCCGGAGAAAACTCACGCAGGCACAGGGAGAACATGCAAACTCCAGGCAGGTGGTACGTGGTTTGTTAGGCTTCTTCCCTCTGTTTTCACCTGGTAATTTGGCCAGCAGGGCTGGTACAAGTGGTGGGCAGGAGGGGCAGCTGCCCTGGGCACTGTGGTATCACATGAGATGTGGGGGCACTGCGTGGAGAGGGAGGGGATTTTTGCTGACACGTAATGCTCATACATTATGTGGAGGGGGGTGCCGTTTGGCATCTTTGCCCTGGGCTTTAGTTGACCTTGTCCCATCACTGCTGGCCAGTAACACACCTCCTGTCTTCGGGTGTCTCCAGACTGGATGGAGGAGCGACAGAGACGCTCTTGGACAGCAGCATTATAGAATAGGTAGTGTTAGTTTTTCTTTGGCTCACCACCAGTGTATTCTTCCTCTCACTAACTGCTAACACTGGGGCATTCTTCATTCTGCTGACTGCCAGGGCCTTTATTCCCTCCAATGACTGCTAAGGCTTCTTCCTCCCACTCAGACCACCAGGGTATTTTTAGCCCTGCTGACCATTAAGGTATGCTTCCTCCCACTGATCCCATTCTCCCATTCTTTGTCCTGCAGACCATTGGGGCATTCTTCCTCCCATTGACCACAAGGGCATTCATAGCCCTGCTGACTACCGGAGAATTCCTCCTCTCCTTGAACACCAGGGCATTCCTACTTCCACTGACCAACAGGACATCCTTCGCCCTGCTGACCACTGGGGCATTCTTCCTCCCACTGATCGAACAGGCACTCTTTGTCCTGTTGACCATTGGAGCATTCGTCTTCCCACTGACTGCTAACACTGGGGCACTCTTTCTTCCACTGATCGCTGGGGCTTTCTTCTCACTGACTGCCAAGGCACTCTTCTTCCATCTGACCACTGGGGACTTCTTCATGCTGCATTCTTCCTCCCACTTACCACCTGGACACTCTTCCTCCCACTGACTGCTGACACTGTGGCATTCTTCCTCCCACTTACCACCTGAGCACTCTTCCTCCCACCGACTGCTGACACTGTGGCATTCTTCCTCCCACTTACCACCTGGGCACTCTTCCTCCCACCGACTGCTGACACTGTGGCATTCTTCCTCCCACTTACCACCTGAGCACTCTTCCTCCCACCAACTGCTGACATTGTGGCATTCTTCCTCCCACTTACCACCTGGGCACTCTTCCTCCCACTGACTGCTGACACTGTGGCATTCTTCCTCCCACTTACCACATGGGCACTCTTCCTTTCACTGACTGCTGACACCGTGGCATTCTTCCTCCCACTTACCACCTGGGCACTCTTCCTCCCACTGACTGCTGACACTGTGGCATTCTTCCTCCCACTTAGCATCTGGGCACTCTTCCTCCACTAACTGCTGACACCGTTGCATTCTTCCTCCCACTGACCACCTGGGCATGGGGCGTCCTTTCGCTGACTGCTGACACTGTGGCATTCTTCCTACCACTTACGACCTGGGCACTCTTCCTCCCACTGACTGCTGACACTGTGGCATTCTTCCTCCCACTTACCACCTGAGCACTCCTCCTCCCACCGACTGCTGGCATTGTGGCATTCTTCCTCCCACTTACCACCTGGGCACTCTTCCTCCCACTGACTGCTGACACTGTGGCATTCTTCCTCCCACTTACCACATGGGCACTCTTCCTTTCACTGACTGCTGACACCGTGGCATTCTTCCTCCCACTTACCACCTGGGCACTCTTCCTCCCACTGACTGCTGACACTGTGGCATTCTTCCTCCCACTTACCACCTGGGCACTCTTCCTCCCACTAACTGCTGACACCGTTGCATTCTTCCTCCCACTGACAACCTGGGCACGCGTCCTTTCACTGACTGCTGACTCTGTGGCATTCTTCCTCCCCACTTACGACCTGGGCACTCTTCCTCCCACTGACTGCTGACACTGGGACACCCATTTTCCTACTGCCACCGAGGCATTCTTCCTTCTACTAACCACTGGGGTATTCTTAATCCTGCTAACCGTAAGGGCATTATTTCCCTCAGTGAGCACCAGGACATTCTTCCTCACACTGACTACAAGGGTCATTTTGCTTCCAGTGACTGTTGACATTGGGACATTCTTCCTCACACTGACTAGTAGGGCATTTTTAGTCCTGCTGACCACAGGGGCATTCTTCCTCCAACTAACTATCTGAGCATTCTTCTTTCCATTGACCATCTGGACATTCTTCCTCCCATTGACTGTCAAATCATCCATTCCTTCCAAGAGTTCTGGATTAGGTAGAACTGTCACACAATGTTTGGGAAATCTCATGGTCCTATGGACCCAAGGATAATCCTGTTACATCCCACTGCCCATCTACCTCCTCAATTCTCCCTACCACTTAACATACACAAGTAAGGGGTGAAGTCTATGCTCTTGCTGACGCCCATCATTCTAATCCAGCACCGCACTTTTACCTCTTGAACTCCACCTAAGTGATGTCATTATATAGGTATACCCCGTTGAACATCAGTGTTTTCTCCTCACCCCAACCACCTTCCCCACATCCCAACACCAATGCTCTTTTTCCCACTGACAAAGCTGGGGCAGTTTTTTCCTCCCAGAGATACTTGGCCATTTTCCCTACCATTTCCGCCATCCAATTACCTCTAAAACCTGGGCAGGTTTTCCTTCCATTGACCAATGACATTCTTTTCTCCCACTGATCACCAATATGTGGACCTCAATACACATACTCCTGACTGCTGCAAATACATATGTTGTATGTTACATAGTCCTGACTGCTGTACGCTATACATGATGTTGTACATTGCATAGTGTTAACCATTGTATTCTTTAAGTTGTGCTATACATCACATCCTCCTGATCAACACAATTCTTGTCTCAAAAGTTGCTGGTTGTTATGTAGTTTTCATCACTTTTAATGAAGTTGTTCTTTAAAGTGTTACTAAACCCACAACAGTAAAATCAGGCTGTACATGCAGCAAAGCATGCTTGTTATACTACCTGTGGAACCTAAGGGGTTAATCCTCCGCATTGTGTAAAAACACTGTTCGATCCTGTCTTCTCTGATCATCCCCTTCTTTCAGTGTCCTCCTCTTATCTGCTGATAAGACATGTGGTGTGGAGTCACTCTGCACAAGCCCAGTTTGGTGTGTAATGCTAGAGAGGTTGTTTTTTTTCTTGGGAGAGTGCATGTGATCAGCACAGGGCCAGTCAGCACTGTACAGACAAAGGTCAGGAGTTTTGCATCTTCTTAGACCTAGAGCAAAATGAAAACTCCTTCTTCAAGCTGTAAGCAGTGCTCTGCTGGACACTGATAGAAGTCAAAAGACTGCTATATACTGCTGGTATGAAAAGGTATTAAGCAGTTGATATTTACTAAAATAATTTCATTTCCATGTTCTCTGTACTGTGGGAGACCAGATATAGTGAATGCAGGGTGCTGGGTTTAGTAACACTTTAAAGTAAGCTCAGAAAAATGTTCTAATGGACTATATTCTGATTGATTGATTGATTGATTGATCGATTGATTAATTAATTAATTAATTAATTAATCTTCAGGTTTATGTGCATCTGTGATACTCTTACTCATAGCACGATAATTGTGCTAAGTATTTTGTGGAGCCATAAAAAACACAGAAAAGAAAAAGGGACGTTTTAAGCACCAAAACTACAAAAGAAAAAATATCTTATATAAAAAATACAAATTTATTGAACATAGTACATCAATGAAAAAACATAGACACAATACATAAAACATAATTTTGATGTGGATGGCGATGATTGGCTATAAATCACCAAAGAGAAAAATCCAAACGTGTTTCAATTCATTGAATTTATAATTTGAATCTTCTTCAGGGAGAAAGGTGAGATGCCATAAACAGTATTATCGCCATTCATAAAAACAGAAATTCAAAGGATCCTTGCTGATTAATTCCAGGCACCGTCTATACAAACAGACCACTCAGTGGTCCAATTGAGTGAATGAATACTGGACTAGATCACTGATGAGCTTCCCCTGTATTGGGTATCAAAATGTGGAACCAACAAAATGTATCCACAAATGGTCTATCTTATACCAAGATGGAAACAGCCCAGAGAACCACATTGCATTTCCATGTTCTGTGGACTGTGGGAGACCAGATATAGTGAATGCAGGGTCCGGGGTTTAGTAACACTTTAAGGATAAGACTGTTCCTCTTCTCACTTTGATACCCCTTTGAACACGAGATGCTAAAATGCCTTGTTTTACAAAGATAACGCTCTGTACAGCCCTGCCTAATGAAAGGTAAAATACATGTTAAAGATACATCAATCAGAGCCACAGTCCTAGCATGGTGGTAGTACAGAATGGGGCTTCCTTAGGTCAAAACAATCAATCTTTCTGTTTAATGCTTTGTAGAGCAGCCTGGGGCAACCCTAAGGTCAACTAAAGGAAGGCGAACTAGTCATGCTTTGTCTATGCATGATCCAAAATTAAAGCACAAATAGTGTGACAGTTATTCAGTCCTGGGTGTATGTGCTGGATACAATTGCTTAGCCTCAAAATCCTAAATTACTCCTTTTAGTTGTGCTTGTAGCAGCCATTTAGTCTGTTTTGTTACTGTGAATACTCTTAGTGTGTGATATTTACAGTATTGCTTTTAAAGTAGAACTGAAGGCTAAACCTTGGATAGAGTAAGGGAGAGTTATAACCCCTTTTTGTCATTTGTCTCCTATTGAGGAGATTTCTCTTCACTACCTGTCCCATAACCATAACAAGAAGTGAGAGGTAATCTCTCCAAAGCTAGGGAATCCCTGGTTGTCACCATGGTCCCTAGAACTAGGGGGCACTTGTGTGTGTTCGCTCCCGAGGCGGCTCTGTGTGTCCATTAAGACACAAAGCGTGACTTGGCCCCTCCTTCCCACATGGAAGAAAAATATATTTTAAATATATTAAAAAAAATATTAATTACAACTATATTGCCATATATTTGAAATACTACAATTTTGGCCATATCCAATATATTTCAATATATATATATATATATATATATATATATATATACTGTATGTTGAAATGTGTTTTTTATATATTACAAGATATATGAAAAATATTTTTTTAAATATATTTTTTTAAACATATTCTTCAGACTTGTTTAAACATATAAAAAAGTAATTTTAACATATATTTTTACATATATTTGTAAATGCATTCCGAGAATGTAGGTTAAATGTATTTTTAAAGACATACAGTATATTTGACAATGTATTTTTAAAAATCTTTTTCATATATTTTGTAGTAGATAAAAAACATATATATATATATATATTTTTTTTTTTTAATTGAAATATATTTTTAAATATATTGAATATGTCCAAAATTGTAGTATTTCAAATATATGTCAATGTATTTGAAAATAATATTTAAAAAATATATTTAAAATATATTTTTCGTCCATGTGGGATTCCTCTCCTCACCGGCTGCGATTGACAGCAGCAGGGACTAATAGCACCTGCTGCTGCCTCTCTGTCCAATGAGGAGAGAGAGCTTCTATTCTCATGCACATCGCTGGATCGCGATCAGGCTCAGGCAAGTATTTGGGGGAGGGACTTGGGGGGAGCTTCATGCATAGAATACATTAACCACTTCCTGACCGCCCTATAGCAGATATACTGCTACAGGGTGGCACAGGTACACAAAATCACGTATATATACATGATTTTGCATTTCTGGATAGGGGGCGTGCAGTCGCCTTGCGCGCGCCCTACCCTTGCCGCCATTCGTGGCCGCGGCTGTCAATCACCTGGTCCCGGACGGTGATTACTCACCCTCCCCAGTGATTGTCGAGCATCTCCGATGGGGAGGAGAACTATTTGTAAACAAAACAGTTCTTCTCTCCATCAGCTCCTGCACACTGCTTTGCATGGCTGTGCCTGCCGCAGTCCCGCTATAGATCACTGATTGCTGCCATTACTAGTAAAAATTAAAAAAGAAAAAATTCCAGTATGTGTACCGCTATTTGTAAATGCTATAACTTTCACGTAAACCAATTGATTTCCACGTATCGTATTGGGATTTTTTTTACATTTTAAAATTTTTTTACTGGACATGTTTAATAGTAAAAAGTCAAAAGTATTATTTTTCTCTCAAAATTGTTTGTTTTTTTTTAAAGCGCAAAAAATAAAAAATGCACAGGCAATCAAATACCGCCGAATGAAAGCTCAATTCGTGGGAAAAAAGGGATGTACATTTCATTTCGGTGCAGTGTTGTATGACCACGCAATTAAGAGTTAAAATAACATAGCGCCGTAACACAAAAAATGGCCTGGTCAGGAAGGGGGAAAATCCTCAGGAGGGCAAGTGGTTAAAATAAAAACCTTCTGCCTTTATAACCACTTTAACACCCCGTTCACATCAAGCCCGACTTCGAAATCGTGCAACTTACAGTGAAGTTGCACGATTTCAAAGTCGGGGGACATCCGATTTCAGGTGCGATTTTCAAGATATCTGATACAGATGTCTATGCAAATCACACAAAAAGTAGTGCATGTACTACTTTAGAAATCGGTGCGGCTCCGACCAAGTTGGAACCGCACCGATTTGTCCGCTGTGACAATAGGGTGTGACTTGGCATATGATTTTCAAGTCGTGAGGCATGCAAATCGCATGCCAAGCCGCACCCAGTGCGACCGGGGTGTAAGTCATACTTTAAAATGCATAAACACATACATTTTTCTCCCGTTATCCTCCTTCCACAACAACATTCTACCTTTGTCACTGTATGCTCCTGCGCAGTTTGTACAACCTTCCCTACTGTCCCCATGTGTGGCTAAAACTTTTGATAGAAGGTAAGTTACACTCTCCCACATGGAAACAATAGTCAATATCCGCCACCAGGGGCGGACTGACAACTCATGGGGCCCCCGGGCAATAGGGGATCATGGGGCCCCTGTGTCCTTGGCCAAACTCAAAAAAGCCTATGAAAATGGTACCAGGGGCATCTCATGGGGCCCCCTACTGACCCCGGGCCCTCGGGCAATGCCCGAGTTTCCAAATGGTCAGTCCGCCCCTGTCTGCCACTATGTGATACGGTAAAGTAGACATTGCTGCACGTGAGACACATTCAAACAAGAATGAAGGTAGTTTCACTTTGCTGCATTGCATTGACACTAGATCAACATTATTTCTGTTCTTGCAACCTGGCTACTTGGTAACTATGTTAATTTCTGGATCTCTTTAAACATTTTAACACACTCTGCACAATATCTTAATTGTTCATTGTCGCAAATGTGCGCACCAGAGACTGACGCAGTCTGCCATTTTGTTAAGAGTAGCATGTTATTCCCTCATTCTCCTTCCCCCTCCCTTCCTGAGAGGCACAGTGACAGATGTGTGTACTGTTTATGGGTCACTAGCTGGCCAAGGCATTTCTAGCTAGGTGCCGAGCTGTCTGTGAAAGCTGTATCCTTTCTCACCTAGGAAGAGATAGGACCAGCTTTCCCAAGAGAGCTGGAGTCTCACTGGCCAAAGTACCTGTGTAATTTCATGCCTCGCGAAGGGATAGCGGAGCCTTCCCAGGAGTTGAAAGGGACTCTGAGCTAATAAACCTAGCTCAGCGTAGGTGACAGAATTGGATGAACCCTTCTCAAATCAATTTTTCCCCTATCTTGGAATATGAGAGACTTACATAAAAACCGGACACCTCGTCAGATGGCCAATGAGCAGGTGAACAGTTTGATGGGTCACTCGCTTATCTCGGACCATCAGGGGAGCCAAAACATAGAACTCGTGAACCGTGAAATATATAATTTCATAATTCATATCTAAATAATCCTCAGACCTGTCTGCATAATAATATACCCACGGGTGAACTGTCGCTTGTGCAGATGGAAAGTTATGGACCAGAATATGAATTATGAAAGATGTGGGCTCCAGTTTAGGGTTCCGCCTGACGATCCCTCCCTAAACAGGGGATTGGTCTTTTACTTCAGAACCACCCCCTGCTGGGAAACTTTAAAGCAGGCTGTCAAGCCTAAGAGTAGTAAGTTTTGAAGACATCCCCCATTTTTAACATCAATATACCACCTGGGGAGACCTGTGCCTTTCGCTCTGAAACGTGATCTGCTTCCATCCAAGGCTTAATGGCAAGTAACTTAACCCTTTAACTTCTCCCTGTTATCTCTTTGCTGTGCTGTACTGTTTTCTATGTATATATATATATATATATATATCTTAGTTACATCTTCTCTGTAAATATTTTTATTGCACCTGTTCGACCCTTTTAGTATTAAATCTCTCTTTCTGAAAGTGTTGAACTGTTTCTATAGCTCTTAATTGCAATTTAGGAATCCCTGCCTTTAAAGAGACGCTACTGTTTGTTTTAACCCTCTGTATAACAGGCCTGTATTATGACCAGGTTATGCAGTCGATTATATCAACATATATCCATTATATTGTTATAGCTGAGCGCCAAGTTTCCTCTTTCTCTGATCAAAAAGGAGGTGGTGGCAATGTGAAGGGATTAATTGCGTAATTAACCTGACCCAGTAACAATCAATTCAGGCTGCTGGCACATCGATTGGTATCCATTAGCTGGAAAATCATTGTGCAGGGTGCAGCTGGGTTTGGCATTGTTAAGCATGTCACATCGTGGTTTTAGATCAGCCAGTCCTTCGGTCACGAGTTGGGTGAAAAAGGTCTGGGGTCTGACGCCGCGATCGTGACATATTGGTGGCAGCAATTGTGAAATTGTCGCATGTTGGTGGCGGCGATCTTGCGATCGTGACATTCATGCAAAATCTTGAGGAACATGTAGAGAATTCACTTTGGTCCAGGACAACAATTTGGCTGAATATCCTCTTACAGGTAGGCAGCATCTTGAACATGGGATTAGACTCTGCCCCGTTTCTCCCCAGTGCTTATGCTTGCTTGTTAGAGTTGGTATGTAAACCCCTTACATGCCCCAATTATATCAGATGCTATTTTCATTGTTTAAAGCAATCAAGCCATATAGGTGAACATTTGTATTAACCTCTTCACGCCGGCCGCACACAAGTGTGCGGCCTCCCAGCGTCTGGGCCTAGACGCCGAGCGGCCACACATTTGTGTGCAATTAAAAAAAACATATGTGCTGAGAGCGTGCGCCCTGCACGTTCACAGCACACATGTCTGGTACTCACGGAA